AAAAAAAAAAAAAAAAAAAAAAAAAAAAAAGGAAGTCTTGTGGACATCGCCTTCAGCCATCTCAATCTGGTGGTAGCCAGATTTGAGATCGATCTTGCTAAAAATTGTGCAGCCCTGCACCATGTCCAACAGATCATCAATCATAGGAAGGGCCTCTGTCGACTTCCTGGTTATTTTGTTGAGACCCCGATAGTCTATGCACATTCTGAATTCTCTATTTCCCTTTGGAACAAAGAGAACTGGAGCCCCAAATTCAGAAGTGCTCGGTCTGATCCAGCCTTTGCTGGTCAGGGTCTCAAGCTGTCTCCTGAGCCCATGGAGTTTAGCAGGTGACATCCTGTAGATACGACCCTTGGGAGGGACCGCACCTGGCAGGAGCTCAATCCTGTGTTGGGTCTGCCGGTGGACAAGTCCAGTCGGCTCCTGCATTAGGCTTGGGAACCGGTCCAAAACCTGTTGAATCGGTGAGGGACAAGGAGCAACATCCACACCAGTCTGTTTCACATATGAGACAAACAGACGTGTGTGGGCAGTTTCGCGAGAGAGCTGCAAGAACTCATGTGCTCTCAGACAATAACAACTGGTGATTGGATGGTACTCATCAGCCAAGACACAAGGCTGATAGTCCCCTCTACAGTCAGGGAGCTCAACCCTAGGGATCTACCAGTCGATCCTAGGGTTAGTGGCCTCAAGCCACTGCATAGAGAAGACAAAATCAAAAGGCACATTGGGGAAAACATAGAAGTTCAGGCGTTGCCTGACCTTCTCCTGCTTGTCAAAGATAACCGATAGGTTCTTGACAACTGTGGTAATTCGGACTGTAGAAGAGTCCCCAATACGGACTTCCAGTGGCTGCTGCAACTTCACCAATCTCCCATCTAGGTGCAGCTTGCTGACAACCTTGGGAGAGACGAAGTTCCGCGTGGCCCCACAGTCTAGTAAGCCTTTGATCCTGGCTCCCAGGATAGAGGGTCGCAACAAGATGAGGTCTGATTTATGCTTCTTCTTTTCTTGCAAAGACAGGAAAAGATCAGCAAAAGCCTGACAGTCATCTTCCTGCCATGTCTTATCCACGTCAGGGTCTATGTAAGTGAAGGAACCTGACGCAGCAACTCCAACAGAGTCAGCGAGGGTAGATGCAGATCCAAACTCATCATAAATGAGGGCAGCAGAGATTAAAATTACACACACAACCACTAATGTAATCACTGGACGTGGTAAATTAGGCAGAAGAGCGCTCAGCCTCTGTAGGCCGCCGAGGGCTATTCTGGGTCAGTTTAGGGTAATTCCAGATAAAACCAGCTTGCGATTTTTCATTCACAGCCAAGAACCTTCATCTGAGTGCAATAACCCCAGAATCGTTGTCAGATAGTGCGACAGGACGCGGCCTTGGACTGTAAGTAGGAGGGTTAGAATGACGCAGAGAGTCAGTAGCAATTAAGACAACCCAGTAATCAACCAAGATGCAACGAATTATTGATGCAACTATTTTTAGACTTCTCCTACTGATACTGGCACTGTAGGACCTTGTATGCCCCACTATAGGTGAGGCGAAGTACAGATATCACTGTATCTGACTCAAAACATCAATCCCAGTATAGCGTTTTCACACACTGACTCAATACTGAATTGCGATTTCAGGGTGACTGACATACTGAAATTCTGACGGACAGAACCTAAGATATGACAAACCCTAGCTGCCCCAAGCACTAGCTATGGCAGCGCAATACTCAGAATTCCATTATCACTGACCAATAGACCCTGTACCATCCATTTCACAGGGTGTACTGAATCGCAATACTTTAAAACAGTCAGAGATGCAGTTTGAGAGAGAGAGGGGGTCAAAGAGAGTCAGTAGAAGTCGAAGTAGATAGGCAGGAGAAATAGGTATGGCAGTAAGGCAGTGCGATTTTCAACTTTTTACTGACTACAGGCATCCAATTTCAATTTCTCCAGTCTAATCACACCTATCAGACTCGCTACAGAGACTTGAGTAGGGAAAACACTTACTTCAGGTCAAAACACTTGAAGAAGAAGTTGAACTGGCTATGGCTGCCATCTCGCCAGTTTCTTCAATTCATTGTTCCTATGGCTGCCATCTCGCCAGTTTCTTCAATTCATTGTTCCTGGTGCTCCCACGTCCAAAATCTCCTGAAACTTGGTGATACTGAAGCTCTCAATATGGCGATTAACCCCCGCTAGTCAAATTCACTGAATCCAGCACAGAATTTGGAACTCGACATACCCCCAGGTATCTCGCCACCAGCAGAGTCAACGCCTAGGCTAAAAATAGCCCCTCAGTGCCTCCCAGGCCACTGAGCACTGAATTGCCACCAATCTCTTTGTCATACCAACCGCCACACACTCCTCACCAACACCCTACTGAGCGCAATATTGAAGATGCGATTCCAACATGAAACCCAATGTCAGAAGCTCTCAGGTAGTGATGGCTGCCTCTTCCATCATCTCGCCACTGTCTGGGTCCGATGGGCTCTGATACCAATTGTTATAAACATGATTGTCCGTTGAAATTTTATCAACGTTCACTCGCAGGAACTCCCGTACATGCCCATACATGCACAGAAGGAAGGGGAGAGGTAGTGGAGTGTCACACCGCCCAACAAAAGGAACGCAGCGGAAGACTCAGAGGAGCGAAGTGACAGAACACACAAAACTGTGGATTCTCTCCACATAGGTCCCAACAATCATTCATAGAAGACAACCGAGTGATCACAACCAGAAATCAATGAAGAGATGACAACTCAAACATAGTAATACAACTGTTTATTAAACTCTGAGCATCGTTTTCCCTGAATAACCTCAGAACCTTGCCGCGGTACCCTCAGAGAGGTAGCGCCTCAACCTCACACACACCGAGCAGCTAAAAGTAGCACCAGAACCCCAGGTAACACCCAGCGCCACCCTGGCATCCAACTCAGTGGCCTGCGCCAAGGTGAAACAGGTTCCGAGAGCCAATCGCCACCCAGATGATGAAGAAGAAGCTCAGCGCCAACACTCCCTGATGAAGATGAAGTCCAGACGATGATATCCTCTGAGAAGGTGCAGCTATGGCTGCATCGCCACTGGGACCCTACTCTTGAGGAGGGTCAGCAGTGCACCACGTGCTCCAATGCATCAAACCTTTGATAGCCTAGACCGCTTTGACTCCCAGAGAGTCAGAGCGTATAGCTTTGACCCTAGTGTGGTCAGCGCTCCGAAGGTCTAGCTATGTCCGCTGTCTCCCACACCGGAATTAGCAACCACGACCTGATACCGTGTGCGCAGCAACTTCCACCACGAAGTGTCAACTGCCAAAAGCCCAGGACCGATGTTCCCATCCTATCTATACTCTAGACTAGCCTTGACACGACCTAGACCGAACTGACTGACCGGTACCATTTCTGTTTCGGCCTCTACGGCCTCTCCCTACCGGCTATAGGTTATAGAACCGTCTATTAGAGTAGCCCGGGTCTGCTATTCGCAGTTAGGGAAATTCGAGTTAGTACCGGGCCCATATTTCCTATATTTACAAATATGTCCCTCACGAATTTCCCTTACAGGTAGGTCTCTCGGTCAGCCGTCAGCCAAACAAAATCACGAATCTATCCCTACCTAGGATACAGCCTCATCAGAGAAAGGCTACAGGCAACCTGGAACCAGCAAGTCATTGCACAGAGAGAGAGAGAGAGAGAGAGAGAGGGCGTCAGCCAATGTCTGACACCGAGTTTGGTGCACTGGCTG